TTTTACAACCGTAATTAATAACCTGGATAACTGAAGATGAGCATCACGTTTAATATTGTTAGTAACATCATAAAGAACTCGAAACAGTAACTGAGAAACTACATTATTTCTCATCTTTTCAGTTTTCTTCTCTCAATAAGTTCTAACAGCAGCCAAATTAGATAATTCTAGATGCCGGAAAAATAGATTACCTCCGACCATACCAAGAAATCCATTGCAATTGGAATTATGGATTTTCACCACCAGTTTAGTCCCACGGAGGACACTCGAATTAGAATTCACATCTTTAACAGCCTCCTCTATAGCAATCTTGGCAACTCTTCCTATTGTTGAGTCGATAGCAAAAATAGCTCCAACCTTCACAACAGCTGGTCTTGAAGAAACATTTTTAATCATCCCATTTGAAAGCACTCCAGAAGAGAGTAACAACCATAATGAAAGAACCCAGATCACATCCATTCTAGAGTATGACATGTGCTAATTTCAAAATAAAAATCCAAATTGAAACCTCCCAATTAGAGTCATAAACTTCCTAGTAAATGAAGTTTAGCAGCCTTAAAAATACATATTTGTGCAGACTAAAATTCAGAAATTCATTACTACAACCGTAAAAGTGTTCTAAACAACACTCAAACGTACGCAGCCCAATTTTTTTCAGAAAAGAAAAATTTACACTCAGTTGAAACAATAATCAAACTCTATTCTGATGCGTAGATGATCAACAAAAAGAATCAATTAGCACCAATGTTCAATTAACATGGGCACATGAATTAGTGTAGTGAAGAAGCAAAATAATGGAACGTCATTAAGAAAAAAGTAAAGATGAGTAATTTCAAGTAGACAAATACAGAATTTTACAGCAGCAGCCATGTGGGCCAGTCAGTATTCTATTTCCATAAGAAAAATGGCGAACTCACGAAGAAAACGAGGAATTGATATCTACGGTGCACAATTGGGAGAAAAGTAAAACATATTAATTTAAAAGAAATGTGTCATAATCATTGGATGGACAACAAGTTAGATAGTCAATTTTAAATCGCAAATTTCAACTTGAAAATGAGAGGAGGAATCAAACTCTGCAATTTAGCGGGTACAGCCTCTCTGGCCCATTCAGTTCCATTTTGTGGACCCCATCATCTTAAGTGAAACTTTTGATAAATGAATATTCGTCAAATTAATAATTTTGCTTCAATATTAAAATTCTTTTAATCTCGACTTGAGTTAGTGTACTATATTAATATCGGAATAATAAATAAGTAAGGCCTTAACTATAGTCCAATTTGATTTTAAGCGAAAATGTTTGACCATAATCCAATTCAATTTTAAGAGAAAGGGTTTAAAAGTTCAAATTCGGATGATAAATAATAGAGAAGAGTTCACATTACAAGCGTTAAGTTTACCTCAATTCAAAAATCAAGTAGATACTTTTAAAATTCAAAAATGAGGTACATATTCTCATGAGTTTGCAGCAGCTTCAGCACCGTTGTTCGACGCCACTAGCAACGACAGAGCGTGCAACGGTATCTTGGTGCCACTCAGCGTCGTCTTCCAGTGGTGTTGCCTTGTCTTCCAATTGGTGTGCTACGGTCGAAGGAATGGAGGCGATCGCCGAATGCTAGTGTCACGTTGCATCGCCGCCGACGCGACATCGTATCTAGTGTGTTATTGTCTCTAGCAGTAAAGAGAGAACAGAGAGGGATATAGAGAGAGAGAGAGAATGGTGAGAAGAAATAATTAGGGTTTGGGAAGTGGGGAAATTGGGGGTGGGTGGTTTTATAGTTAGATTAATACCTGATAGTTGCACAAATAAATTTTATACTTGATTTATGAATTGTATTTCTTAAAGACCTATTGTCATGTAATTTTTTCTAAATAATATAATAAATATCCATCATAATGTCTTGACCCACTCCAATCTTTCTCTCTCTCCAATCTCTCTACAAACTCGCATAGCCACAATCATCGACATCCACCCAGAGTCATTCCCTCTCACACCACAGTGGTAGTGCAGACTTGAAAGGACCCTTGATTTAAGATCTATGAGTACAACATCTTAAGTGTAGCAACTTATTTGGACTTTTAATTTAGTAAAACATCGACGAGAATTTATGAATTATCTAAATGAACTTCAATTTGGACAATCGTCTGGCATCAGAATGATTGAAGGAATGAGATTGGCATCGTGATTTAAACTACCATAGAGAATTGGTTCGTCAATGTCGTGTAAATTTGATTCAAAAGTTTGATTTATCATCAAATTCAATGTAAATTGTAATTTTTTTACCGTGTGATTTAAATTACATGTAAATTGTTACTTGTGATGTTGATCCAATAGCTTGTAACCAGTTCTTTTGGATCTTTGACCTTCAGACGTTGATCTATTACATGTGATATTGATTTAATGGCATGCGACCAATTTTCTTGGATTTGTGACAAATAAATATTGATTTGTTACCTATGAAAAATGACTTATGACCAATGAACTTGAATCTGTGACCTATTATCAGTACACATACATGTGACAATCTAATCTATGACCAGTTATCATTGATATTTGATCTATACAATATGACCCGTAAATTGTGAATGATGAACTGTGACCTGTGATTATAAATTAGTGATTTGTGACCAATCCCATTTGATATGTGACCTATGAACATTGATCTGCGACCTATACACAATGACATGTAACCTATAGTATGTGCACGTTGAACTTTGATACTCGGATTATAACTTGTAACAAGAAAAACATATGACGTGGGCAAAATTGATCACGTATTATTGCACAATCACAAATCACAAATTTTATAGGTTACAATTTCTTTACCACAATTTATCAAATTAATAAACCACGTATTATTCCTCGACTACAAAGTACCTTTTCGAATGCATATTATTTATTGGTCACAAATTAACCATTTTATTAGTTACAATCACCTAAATAATTGGTTATGAACCCTCTTTATACAATTCAAATCCAAACTAACCTAATCCTATCACCAACACCACTGCCACCAATAACATTACTACTATCTCCACCACCATCTGTACCAGAACCACCATCATCGCCAATGCTACCACCACCTCACAACAATCACTGCCATCACCACCATCACCAACAATCACAAACTCCATTTTCACCATACTACAACTACCAACAAAAAAAATAAAAAATAAAAAAAATCCTAAACTCGACACTTCCACCACCTTGAATCCACTAGAAGATAGATAATGGCTAAGCAATAGATCAGAACAAGAAGAAATTACACCAAAACCATGGTGAGTGTTGTTAGAGAGACAATCTCAGCACCACCATGCACGATGCTCAAATCACCACGATGAGTGCCACATAGCGACAATCTAAAAACTTCGATATAGCTCTTAAATTAGCACATCACCAAACACCCCATTCACCACCACACCACATCACACCATCACGTTGTCACTGCTTCGTGCACAATGGCAAATCATTCACCGTTGTTTTGTGCATGCAGCGACATCCCATTTGTTGCTACAATTCGTGTGCAATGACGATGGGGCTCCACTGCGTACTAACTATAGCGATACTAGGCATTGCATACTGTACCTGTCGTCCGGCTCACGAGTGTTGCTGCAGGCCGTGAAGAGTTGCGAGAGAATGAGTGGGTAAAGAGGCATCGAGAAATGAAGTGGATGAAGAGATATTTGTGAAAATGATTTAGGGTTTGTAGGGTAGGTGAGGACAAGGGTATATATATAGATTAATTTATAATATTATCTATTAATATTGAAATGTGAAATTATCACTTGATTTTTGAATAACCAAACCTTGAATTTGTTTTTTTTTTTGAATTGTAGTCTTTAAAAACATGTGGCTGTGTAATTTCCACAATTAATAATCTCATTAAATGCATTAGATAATTTTTTTTCATGATTCTTTAAGGCCCTATGAATATGTAAAATAATAACTGCTTAAATTCATAAAATTTCATATTAATATAAGTTAACAAACTTTTAATTTGACAACATTTTTTTCAAAAATGTTGTGTGCGCCTTTCTGTGTGCTTACAGATTAAATTTTGAATTTCACCACCTTTAATATTTTGTTTTCAAAAATTTCCTACATGTATTACGGTAAAATATAATACAAGTTATAAAAATATAAAAAACTCTATAAATTAATAACCTCTCTAAAATAATAAATTTTCTTGGTCCTAACATTATTATTCTATAGAGGTTTTATAGTACGAGACCGTTGCTCCTACTTAGAAATTTGACACACTTATTTGATAAATAATTGTTACCTTTAATTTAAATCAATCCAACGTTCAATATATATATCACTAAAATCATGGTAGAGTTTGTTGTAATCACTTGAGATCCATAAGATATTGAGCGTTGGATTGATTTAAATTAAATGTCACGATTGTTTCTCAAAAAAAGTGTGTAAGGAATGGTTCCATTTATATTATATACTGATACTATTTGAGTAATAAGAAACTAGTTTTTTCTTATACAGAGATTCAAGGACTGTACTATCGATTCTAGATTAATGAAAATAATTCTAAAGTTTCA